TACCTCCCCAACACCCCCCCTCCCCCAACACACATGCCTTTCACAAGTTTCTCTGTGGATTTGGGCTCCTCTCAGCGAGCGCACTCAACCCCATCTTCAAAAAAAAAATAAAAAATTCCTGGGATGTTTTTTGGCTCGTCTGGTTTTGCCAGGCGGACCCCCCCCGGTCCGTCTGGCCGGGTCCGTCAGGCCCGGTCCGTCTGGACCGGGCGTCGGCTTAACCCAGTTCAAAACAGAAAACCAAAAAAAAACAGAAAAGGAAAAAGAAAAAAAATAGAAAACAAGAAAAAAGGAAAAAAGAAATAAATGATCGAAAGTTGTGGTGGGGTCGTGGTGAGAGCTTTCTGTACCATTTTGTCTCTGGGACTGGCAATATGACAAGGCATGAAGTGCGGCTCAAATTGCCCAGCTTGTAATTGTTGACTGAATTTTGCGAACCAGTTGATCGTGACCACATCCATTGTTTTCAATTTTTTTGCAACATCTCTTCTTCGTGTGCTTTTGCGTATCCCTAAGACTAGAGCGACTTCAGCGACTGGCTGTATTGACTCTTGAGGTGTTTCTGTTTCTGATGATGGCTGCTGTATGTACAGTCTCTTCCTGAGGAGTTGAAGAACCGGTTGATAATTGACGATGGGCCTGCAAGTCCGCTCGCTCAACGCTGGACTTTACGACATCCAAACAAATCGTAAGGGGTTTTGCTTGCGTGGACCTCCCTTCTTTCTTACCTTGCCCAGTGACCCACACTGCACTGTTACCGTAGAAGAACTCTGCACTTATTTTCAGAAAATGCGACACTTTTGGTCTGATTGCTGAGAATTCAGAGGCAGAGTCTGAGTCTGAGTATGTGTGTGATCTGTGCTGGACTTCACAATCAACGAACGAATTGTAAGGGGTTTGTGTGGACCTCCCTTCCTTCTTTGTGACCTTGACAGTGACCCACACAGTTGCGGACGAAGAAATCCACAATGTTTTTCAGATAATGCTGTCCTTTTGGTCTGATGACTGTGAAAGTTTCTGATCAATGTTTTTCAGATAATGCTGTCCTTTTGGTCTGATGACTGTGAAGTCAAAGTTTCTGATCAATGTTTTTCAGATAATGCTGTCCTTTTGGTCTGATGACTGTGAAGTCAAAGTTTCTGATCAATGTTTTTCAGATAATGCTGTCCTTTTGGTCTGATGACTGTGAAGTCAAAGTTTCTGATGTTGATATGGAGCCAGGGCCTGGTATGAACTTTTACCCAAAAAAAAAAAACATTCTCTGAGTAATATGTGTGACCTGCCAGTGATGTGTGTATGCCGTGGTCTTTCCTGCTGACGTTGTGGTTCCCAGTGGGAGTGTGCGAGCGAAGTCTGCTGGCCTTGTTGTGCGTCTGCACCTTGGATGCTGTCCTTTTGGTCTGATGGAGGAGAATTCAGACTCTGAGTAATGTCTGTGAGCATGCCATGTGGTCCAAATGTGGCTATTGTGACTGTACGCGCAGCCTCCATAGACCCAAAGTTGCTCCAAATGCGGTCTTAAACTCAATGACTTGATGTATGTGTTATCCACCGGTATGCCCATGTCGCCTTGGTTCCCCAGGCAGCCAGGTGGCAAGGGTCAGGGAAGGCTCCTGTCCAAAATAAAATGAATTAAAAAAACCGAAAAATGATTATGTTCAATATGTTGTGGAGAAAAATAAACTGAACTCGAGGCCAAGTGGCCTAGCTCAGTTGGTTGAGCATGTAAGTGGTACACAGGAGGTCGTGGGTTCGATTCCCCACGTCATCCATTCAATTCCCCACGACCCCGTGGCATACTTTGGGTCTACCGGCTGAGAAAGTCGGCGTGTCCCTCCTGGCTGGTTGTGGAACTTGTGTGCAGACTTTCCAGCCTGCACCAGGTGTTAGGAGCTTGGGTGCTACTCCCCTGCACAGAGCGGAGTTAGGTAGGCATGGACCCATAACCTTAGGATAGCTTGAGTCTGGCTAGTACATTTAAGGCCAATAGTTGACCCCTCCTTCCGTAGTTCGTAGACTTACGGGTTTGGACCTTCTAGTTGGTATCAGGTTCCGGGCGGTTGCCTGGCTTGAGGATAAAGTAAGTTTCCCAAGGTAGGTAGTGTGAGGTACAATGATGAGAGAAGATAATAGCATAGTACAAGTGTGGCTGTCCCCCATATGAGGAGAACACAAGCCTGCATTTTTATTCTTTGAAGTTTGAAAACAAAAAACAACAAAAAAAAACTGAACTCGTGAGCTATTCCTCGACAGTTCATGCTTTTACCATTCAATCAAATGGGCTGGGTTTGGGTCTTTGCTTTTCTGGTCGCTAAGGCGTTTCCTTCTCTGCAGGCTAAGTTGTCCCTTTTCTTCTCTGTTTCGCCTCTGGTTCCATCAGGGTTTGAACCATACTTGCCGCGCACTTGTGTGGTGCGCATGCGCCATGCACCATGCGCAAATTAGTGATGCACTCATTTTTTTATTTTTATCTTTTTTTCTTCTTGGTGTGTGTGTGAATACAGGAAGGGGGGGGGGGAGAGAGAGAGAGAGAGAGAGAGAGAGAGAGAGAGAGAGCAACGGATCCCCCTCACATGTATCAGAGGGCCCATGCAGGTAATCTGAAGGGTCATCGCAGCAATTTAGTGCGGACCCTCCGCCAAAATCGAGGCAGGCAGTGAATATGAAGTGAAGCACGAGCTGCCGAATGTATACTCAGGATTCGAATTCAGGTCTGTGTTTCAGAAGTTACAGGTTGTGCACTTAGCAGCCCTGTTGGTCTCTGCACATGATTCTCAGGGCTTGGCTGCACTACTCACCAAATGTGCAGAATTAGAATGAATCGTTGGCTAGAATGTGGAATAATACGCTGCCGGATGTTTTGTCTAATGTGCATGGGGCGAGTAGAGGCCCTTAGGGCCACTGCATGTATTCCTAAGAAAAGAAAAACGAGAAAAAACTTCAAAAAAGAGAACTAGTGACCCTTAACCGTGATGCGCAGACCTGAATTCGAATCCAGACTATATATTCTCGGCCCGCGCATACAAACTGGAAGTTTAAAGTCTATCTGTGCTCCCCGTGGAATCCTCGCTAATTCGCTGATGGGGCCCTTTGGAAAAGAGACAGGACACAATTAGGACATGCACACCCACACGCACAGACATGTGCCCACAGTTTTGGGGTATGGCGTGGCCCCGACTTTTTCGCCTCTTGCTTTCTGATTTTTAGAAGCGAGGGGCATGTTTGGCCATCCCACCCTGTCCTTTCAATTTTTTCTATCTTTTTTTTTGTGATGCACTGCATCACGTGCGCGTGCGCTCTGCGCTGCATGTGCCGTGACCCTGCGCACGGTATGTGCCGCAAGTATGGTTTGCACTCATGAGCTAGTTAACATGTCTGTTTCGCCTCGCGTTCCATGAGGGTTTAAACTCGTGAGATATTCGGACATATTCCCCAATGGTTCGTTAACATTTTTGAACCAGTTGATCACATTGGATGGGTTTTGGTCTTTTGCTTTCTGGTTGTCAAGTGGTCTCTTTACTTCTCTGCAGGCTATGTGGTTGTATTTCCTTTTCTTCTCTGTTTGATTAACTTATTGTTCTTTGTGTCATCTCAAATGGATGTTGGGAATGGGATGCAGACTTACTCTTCCACAGAAAGGCGAGACATCACCCGGGGGGCGCAAGGAGGGCAGTGGTTCCTTGCTATCCTTGGGTGCAAACCAGCAGTCGATGCGGGAGAGAGGTCAGAGCGAGGAAGGTGTGTGGAATGTCGACGGAAGAAATTCAAGGAGGGACCGAATAGGTAGCCTTGACACGTCATTGGCCCGCGAGCGGGAGCGTGTCATTTCGCTGGATAACCCGTCATCCTCCAGTGGACTTCTTGCCTGCCCTGAGGTAAGCGATGCAGGTTCAGTCACCCAACCACCACCAATCACCGCTTGAGATATGCAGTCTTGGGTGTCCGACTGTTGTCATTGCCTCGTCAATTGTTTTTTTTTCTTTTTTTTACAAAGAAAAAGAGCGACATTCTGTGGATATCATCATTGAACTGACCGGCCCCAGGTGATCCCTACACTATTAAAATCACTAGTGTCACAAATCTGAAATCCAGGCCGTCATTGGTCCGACTGGCCCACGGCCCAGATCGGTGAAAAAATGTAACAAATCTGTGATCTGGGCCGCCCTACCGAATGGTCGGCCTGGATGGACACTATCCTGTGAAAGAATGTAACAAATCTACGATCTGGGCTGTCGGGCCCTACCAGAACGACGGCCTGGATGGATGCGATCGTGAGATCTGGGCTGTCCGGTCCGGTAGGGCCCGAAGGCCCAGATCACAGATTCCTCATCGGGCTGGGCCGGTAGGTCAGTCCTACCGCCTTTCTGCCTTTGTCTGTTACTTCGGCCTGTTTCTTGGCACAAGCATTAGGGTTTTGTCGGACGCGTTGCTTCGCGTATCGCCGCACCCTGCGGTGCGCACGTCTCTCTCTCTCTCTCTCTCTCTCTCTCTCTCTCTCTCTCTCTCTCTCTCTCTCTCTCTCTCTCTCTCT